CAATTCACTGGGGGGGGGGGGAATATGTATATGTATTTTCTACATATTAGTAGACTCCAAAATCGATTAAATATGCCTTTGAAACCCCTAAATTGTTTCGGGAACTGCCCATAGAACACTTTCAAGGGATTTTGGGTGACATCCGACCACTTTCTTTTGTCAGGGACATTGGCTCTACTCTGGAACCTGGGGCCCCTGGTGTCTGGTTGTCAGGTGCCTGTATACTTTACACATTTGATAGATCAAATTAGTTTTTCCGATTCTCAGTAAACATGGTGTCACAATTGAACTGATAATTTTAATAATATTATATTATTATTATTATTATTATTATTTTATTGTATTTAGTGTTGTTAATATTTATTATTCTTATTATTGATATTATCATCATGTTGAGAGTGGAACTCTAGAGGGACATTAAAAAGTACATGCATATTAAGTACATGTGTATTAAAAAAGGAAACGTGTCATAATGTTGGACCCTGGGAGATAAGGGCAAGAATTTTGTCCTGGTCTCTATTGAGAGCAGACATCTCTAAGGAGGCCTAAGCTAATGGCCTAAGATAAGAGCAAATAGAAAATATTGTTAGATATTTGGGAAAAATTGATGTGGGAATAAAATTTTAAAAATTTTGCCGCATTATTTAAACTCCTTAAAACACAATGCAATTTTGTGACTGGAAATTTTCTTTAATAAACAAAATTAAACAAGTTTTTATAAAATATTTACAATATTCTTGCCAAATAAAAACAGTCCCTCCCTCATCAATAAAAAAAAATTATACTCTATTGTTCTGATAAGAAAAAAAAACCCTGCCCTCATCACTTTTTCCAAAAAAAAAAAGATAATCTAATAATTTTTTATATGTGCCTTAAGTAAAGCCAAGTTGACCAAGGTCCATGAAGACTAACATTAAGTATAGGCAGATATGTGCTATATAATACCCAATTCACACGTAAAGTTAAATTTAACAAAAAGTAACAAATTGTAACCGAGTGATCTCCCGAGTTATTCCTACCGAGATAAAAAGCATTCACACACGTCTGTAAGGTAATGCCAAGGTCGTGCAAAATTTATTCAGTGCTTATTCAATGAATCATTTTTTCCCCTACTGCGATATAGGTCTAGCCTAGGCCTAGTTGAGAAACCCTGTCACAGATGGACTGTTGAACTCACCATCACACTAGATGTGTATAAGAGACAGCTCATATGTAGAGTTGGAAGGTAAAAAAAAGAGAAAAAAGGAAAAAAGAAAGAAAAAGAAAAAAATGATAGCCCACAATGCCTCAAATGTTATTTTCGGGCGTCTAGAACACAAACATTTCGCGGGGGCATGTCTCGATCGGCCCAAATTTCGGCCCCCCACTTTTGGATATCTCTGGATCCGCCACTGACAGTAAACATTCGAAGCCATCAATGCCCTTAACAACTGCTGTACTACTACTACTAAACTAGGCATAGCTTCCAACGTTTCTGTCGACTCTTGATAATACTAGTAATAGTACTAACACCACCCCGACGTTCATTTTATGTATATCTTCTTCTTCTTCTACCATTACTAATTAACATCAATAACAAGGGTAATTCATTCATCATTGAGAAAAACTAGGCCTATCTATTTCTAGTGGATCAGAATCGTCTGCAGAAGGAAGAAAATTCAAGAACCCCGTGAAACACAATAGATTGTTGTTGTGTTGAAATCCCTGCGCATGCGCAGATCCATCCATGCTACATCTCGGAAGCTTTACCAGCCTCAGAGAGGCTGGAAAATATTACCGAGACGTTCCGAGATTTTACAAGGATATTATACGGAGGTACTTTCACACGTGCCGTAAAATGTTACTTTTGGTTACATTTTGTTACATTTGGTAAGATTTTCGTACGTGTGAATCGGGTATAAGGTGACAAACCAAGGTTTCGGTCATAATTAGCAGCAGTAAGTTAATCATTTATATTGCATTGTATTATAGAAGGCCTAATGACGTGTACTGAGCAGGGTTAAAATAGTAATGTAACCTCATGCTAATGACGTTCCAAAAGAACTCATAGAATTGTTAAAATGAAAATCGGACCTAAGCAATTACATAATTATTATTATAATAATATATGGGCAATTCCACCGAAAGGTCAACCTCGTCATCAAATTTTCATATTTACTGCACCTACCCAAGTGAGGTGTCATTTTGAGGCTCATACTATATACTTTCTGGTACAAATAATTTTACATCTATTTTTATATATATTATATTTAATTATCGGGTTTGAGGTTAAGAGTATCAAATGTATGCATTTTACCAAAAAAACATGTATATTGACACATAACTGTATAAAAGAAGTTAAACACTTCATTTATGATAAATTATTATTTTATATCAAAGTGTACTAAAATATCTGCCAGACTATAACAAAAAAAAAGAAAAAATAATTGTCGGAGTTTGCATTAATTCAATTTTAATTAGATTCAAGTTAAAGCTGATTACGTCCATAACCAAAATTTCAATTTTTTTTAAATATCAGGTATTAAAATTTTTCTGTATAATACCAAAAAATATTTGCAAAGCAGGTTTTAGGTCCCAAGTATAATCATCTAAAAAAAATATTTAATCTCCGATTTTAAAGTAAATATTTACGCTATAATTTATGTACGTCCATAACTAAAACCTAAAATGTGAATTGTGTTACCACTGAACATCTTGCAAACAGTGTGGAAACTAAAAATCTACTGATGTTCTTTCTCAGAGAGAATCTTTATCAACTTTTACTATAACCATGACAACTATCTGCCCTCTAGTTTATGAGTAATGTTCTAAAAATAGCCGGTTATGGACGTACGCAGAGAAAATGACTTTTTCAAACATACATTTAACATTTTAAAAACTCTGTGAGAATGAGAATGATTTTTTTTTTTAGTTGAATTAAAGTATGTTACAATATGAGGCTTGCTATCCCAAAAATCAGTGACCAAAATATGAAAATTGACTTTTTAACATTCTTATTCTCCGCATTCTGTAAGCTTTAAAATGATGGGTCATTAACGGAATCGACTTTATTATTGCCAAAGTTATAAGTAAAAGTATTATGGCTTCTCTGTTCTAAAGTATACAATACTGCAATATTCTTTATGCTATACTTAATTTAATACTGTAGATAGTATGCTGGTTTTGTGATGGCATACCTCATCATAACTGTAACCAAAGTTTATTCATGACATTAACA